GAAAGCCAAAAGAATGAAAAAATAGAAAACAACATGAAATATTTCATTAGAAAAACAAGTGACCTGGAAAACAGATCCAGGAGAGAGAATTTTAAAATTACTGCACTACCTGAAAGCCATGATCAGAAAAAGAGCCTAGACATCAGCTTTTAAGAAATTATTAAGGAAAACTGCCCTGATATTCTGGAACTAGAGGGTAAAACAGAAATTGAAAGAATGCACTTAGCACCCCTGAAAGAAATCCCAAAATGAGAACTCCCAGGAATGCTACAGGCAAATTCCAGAGCTCCCAGGTCATGGGAAAACTACTGCAAAACAGCCAGAAAGAAACAATTCAAGTATTGTGGAGCCACAATCAGGACAACACAAGATTTAGTAACTTCTACATGAAAGGATCAGAGGGCTTGGAATATGATGTTCCAGAGGGCAAAGGAGCTAGGATTCCATCGCCTACCCAGCAACACTGAGTATAATCCTCCAAAATGGATATTCAATGCAATAGAGGACTATCAAGCATTCTTGATGAAAAGACCACAGCTGAATAGAAAATTTAACTTTCAAAGACAAGACTCTTAAGATGTATGAAAAGGTGAACAGGAAAGGGAACTCATAAGGGACTTAAGATTAAACTGTCTGCATTCCTGCATAGGAAGAAGATACTTGTAACTCATAAGAACTTTCTCATTTTAGAGCAGTTAGAGGGCACAGGTGTCAGCTGAATATAAAGGGGTGAGAAAGAGGAATGCACTGGGAGAAAGGGAAAGGGAGAGGTAGAATGGGGGTGAACTGTCTAACATAAAAGAGGCAAGAAAAACTTTTTACAGTGGAGGGGAAGCTGGGGGAGGTGAAGGTAGGTGAGTGAACCTTACTCTCATCAGAACCGGCTCAAAGAGTGAATAACATACACATTCAACTGGGTACAGAAATCTACCTTACCTTACAGGAAAAGTAGGAGGGGAAGGAAATGAAGAGAGGGGAAGGGGGGCAGATTAGGGGAGGTGGTAGTCAGAAGCAAAACACTTCTGAGGAGGGACAGGGTAAAAAGAGAGAGAAATAACAGAATAAACAAAGGGAAAATAGGATGGAGGCAAATATAGCTAGCAATCATAACTGTGAAAAAGTTTTTGAAGCAAGTTTCTCTGATAAAGGCCTCATTTCTCAAATATATAGAGAATGGAGTCAAATTTTTAAAAATAAAAGCCATTCTCCAATTGATAAATGATAAAAGATATGAACAGAAAGCAGTCATGTAAGAAAATGTTCTAAATCACTATTGATTAGAGAAATGCAAATTAAAACAATCCTGAAGTACTATCTCACACCTATGAGACTGGCTAATAGGACAGAAAAAGAAAATGACAAATGCTGGAGGGGATGTGGGAAAATTGAGACACTAATGCATTGTTGATGGAGTTGTGAACTGATTCTGCAATTCTGGAGAGCAATTTGGAACTATCCTGCATTTCTACAGTAGTTTTATTTAATTTTTAGAACTTTATTTTTCCCAGTTACATGCAAACACAATTTTTAACACTTTTTAAATTTTGAGTCTCAAATTCTCTTCCTCCCTCCTTCCCCACCTCCCTCACTGAGAAGGCAAGCAATTTGATATAGGTTATACATGTGTAGTTGTGTTGTAAAAGAAAACACAGACCAAAAAATAAACTAAGAAAGTACGTTTTGATTATTCATACACCATCAGTTCTTTCTCTGGGGATGGAGAGCATTTTTCATCATAAGTCCTTCAGAGTTATTTTAGATCACTGTATTGCTGAGGATAGCCAGGTCATTCACAGTGGATCATCTTACAATATTGCTGTTACTATGTACAGTGTTCTCCTGGCTGTACTCATCTCACTTCATATCAGTTCATGTAAGTCTTTCCAGGTTTTTCTGAGAGCATCCTGCTCTTCATTTCTGATGGCATAATATTATGTACTCCATTACAATCATATACCACAATTTGTTCAACCATTCCCCGATTGATGGGTATCACCTCCATTTCCAGTTCTTTGCCACCAGAGAAGATGTGCTATAAATATTTTTGTACATACAGATCCTTTTCCTTTTTGTTTTTTATCTCTTTTGGGGTACAGTGATCTAGTAGTGATACTGCTTAGTCAAAGGGTACGCATGGTTTTATAGCTCTTTGGGCGTAGTTCCACATTGCTCTTCAGAACTGCAGAATCAGTTCACAACTCCATTAGAAGAACAATTTATACACCAACAATACTGTAAAGCCAGTTCTGAGATGCTCGGGAATTATGACCAATACAACGATCAAACTATATGTAATTCCAGAGGATTCAAGATGAAATATGTGGCCTACCTGTGGACAAAGAGACGATGAACTCAGAGAACAGAATGAGACGGTAGTTGTCGTTTTTTTGGGACACAGTCAATGTGAGAATGTACACACAAACATATGCACACACACATTCACATACATTTTCATACGTACACACACACACACACAAAGCATCCAGAAAGAAAAACTTCAGATACTACAGGATGTCAGTAACACACGACTTTGCAGTTTCTCTTATACCTGAAAGGAAGATTTTAGAATACAATATTCCAAAGGGAAAAAGACATAGGCTTACAACCAAGAATAATTTACCTTGAAAAGCTGAGTATCAACCCACAGGGGAATAAAAATAAACCTTTAATAGAACAGAGGACTTTCAAGCATTCCTGATGTAAAGATCAGCGCTGAGTGGGAACTCTGAAATGAAAAATCAAGACTCAAGAGAAACCTAGAAAATAAAATTTAAATTAGAGAAACTGGAATGGGCTATATGATGAAGAAGCAGCTAGATAACATTTTAATAGAGGGTGAAGAAATAAGTACCCCTTTAGAACCTTAATGTCTTCAATTATATTGAGGAAATTAAATAAGAAAAACCAGATCTAGGGGTAGACTGGTTATTTTTTGAGGGTTCTAAAAAGAGAGAGTAAAAGGAATATGCTACAGTAGAAAGGAAGAAGAAAAGGAAGTGGCTCATGGTAGAAGGAAGGAGTAAGCATCAATGAATCTCACTCTTATCTGAACTGGACAAGAGGAGGATTGAAAAATCACACACGGTTTGTTGTGGTTAGTCAAGAAACATAATATAAGTGCCTACCAGATGCTAGGTACTATGCTTAGTGCTTGAAGTATTTAAAATGGGGCCAAAGACAGTCCCTCTCCTCAAGGAGCTCACAGTCCCCTAGGGGAAAGAACAGGGATAAACAAAACAGAGGTGAAAGGGATGATAATATTAGGAAGGGAATAGTCACAAGAAAAATAAACTTCTTGATCCCAAAGGGGAAATGTAAAAGGAAAAAAACAAAAGCAAAGAACTGGAAACTAAAGGGCTGCACATCAATTAGGAAATGGCTGAATGGCCAAAGTGTGAGATGTGAACATATTGGAATATTATTGTGTTGCAAAAGATGACAAAAAAGAAATTTCAGAGAATCTTACAAAACAAGAACTACGGAAACAAGAAACCTCTAGAATGAAATAAGCAGAATCAGAAGAACAATTTATATTAGAACAACGACAATGTAAAGAAAACAACTCTGATCAACGCAACGATGTCTTAAGGAAGCATGTTTCCTAATTCCTGAAAAAGAAGTGAAGAACTCAAAGGGTAGAAGGAGACACACATGTCTGGGTAAAGCCACTGTGGACTTGATTTGCTCAACTACGTTTTTTATTACAGGATAGTTTCTTTCTATTTTTTATTAAGGATGTAGGTTGGGGGAAACGAGAAGGTAGGGAAGGCAATATCCTCTTGCCCCCAAACTCCTAAAAAATGAGGAAAGCCATTGAAACATTTTTTAAAAGGAGCAGGAGTACAGAAGGTAGTTCAGAAAGAAGCACAGACAAATAGGAGAGTTTTCAGAATAAAGGGTAAAAGTTTATTATGTCTTAAGCAATACCAGAAAAACTCACTTTCAAATGTAACCATTTTTACTGAGTCATACTTTGCATATGGAAATGTTCGTTTTGGGTTTACTTTGGTGCTTATTAAGTTTAGAATAAAATGAAGAAAAATTAGATAAATCCACAACTTCACCCTTCTGATTCCTCCTTGGCCACCCCCGCTTTTATAAACAAAGATCAAAACTACTATAACGTAAGGCTGCCAAGTGTCATCAGATGCCATCCTTCTTTGGCACTATTTTGAAGTACTACACTGACTACCAAACTGAAGGTCTACAGAGCCGTGTGCTGACCTCACTGCTGTATGCCTGTGAAACCTCAACAGTATACTAGCACCATGCACTGAATCGCTTCCATCTGAATTGTCTTAGGAAGATTCTGAAGGTCACCTGGTGGGATAAGATACCAGACACTGAGGTCCTTTCTCGAACTGAACTGCCAAGCTTTCAAACTCTGCTTCAGAAAGTGGCCACACTGTTCAAATGCAAAACACACACTTGCCAAAAAGACTATTTTACAGAGAACTCACACAAGGCAAGCATTCATGCGGTGGTCAGATGACGTAATACAAGGACACTCTCAAGGTCTCCCTTGAGAACTTTGGAATTGATTGTGTGACATGGGAGACGGTGGCACAGGACTGCTCAGCATGGCATGCCCACATCAGAGAAGGTGCTGTGCTCTGTGAGCAAAGCAGAAGTGAAACAGCTCAAGAGAAACACAAGATGCACAAACTTAAAAAAACCTACCCTAAACGTTCACATGAACTATTTGTGCCCGACCTGCGGCAGGCCACTCCGAGCTCTATCGCTCTGATCAGCCAGTCCGACACGCTGTAACTTGACTCTAGCACAGTGATGTCATTCTGGTCATGAAGCACAACAACCCACTACTTTTTTTGCTTAACTATTTTTAGGCATTGTGTATCACGGAAAGTGCAACTGTGAATTAGATGAGGTTTTATGCAGTTTAAACAAAATTTACAAATTAAAAAATAAAAGAATCATGAGCACATTAGGAAACAAAGAAGAGAGGAAAATGTCACTTGAAAGATTTAATTTTATCATACCTGAACTTAGATATTCGGGTCATACTGTGACACTTGAGCTCGTAGGGATTAAAAGGACCATGAAGTAGTACCTTCACATGCAATGATAAAAAAAAAATAGAATGTCAATAAACAAGGTTACTTTTTTTATTATAATTCTGTCCCTCTCCCTATCACTACAATCCAGTCTCTCAAAAATACCACTCCCAGAAATTACATTTTAGACTTCCAAATAGAAAAGACCCTCTTAAATTATAATAGGGGACAACTAATAATGCATTATCTAGTGGAAAAAAGCCTCAATACACTGAATTTTTGTTTTAAACCCTTTAACAAATTACATTCTTCTTCAAATCCGGCCTCAGACCAAGGCCCTGGGCAAGTCACTTAACCCCAATTGCCTAAAAATAAAAAATAAAAAAATTTCAAAGCAGTCAGTAGCAACTTATTGTTGCTTGGGATAATAATTTTTTACGTATATTCAAAAGACAATTTATAAAATTACCTTACAATTTGGGGCACCAAGTTTATTAGCAGAAAAGCTGTCTAACAATATTCGGATCAGAAACTTTTCATCCTCTTTACTGTGAATTGATGGTGGTATAGTTGCACTGGCAGCATTTTCCACTGACTTGGAAAAGAATTCCTTCAGCATTTCATTGCTTTGCTAAACAGAATTACAAGAAAAGCTTATCTTTGACTGACATGCAAGAAAATTATTTTGATCCCCCTATTCCCAGTAAAACTCCAGGCCCTGTTCCACAGTAGCCCAGTTATGTGAGACAAAACTAGGCACAGCCACACCAAACTGGGGAGGGGTGGTGCCAACAGCACAGCCTCCCGGGGGTAACATGTTGGTAGTGTATTCTTCATATGATCATAAGTCACTGTGCTCAAGGGCCACACTCCCTTGCTGGCTAAGTGGTAGAGGGATTCACTATGCTTATACTTGGGGTGGCTGTCATTTTCAGACATCTTTGCTCCCTTTCTCACGCTCACTCTCTCAGGTGCATTAAGTTAAATACCTTAGCCCGTCTTATATAAAATGTGCCTATCTTAAAGTTTTGTTGCTTTAATCATTATTGTCTGGATTGCTTCTACAGTAGTAAAGTCCAAAAAGCAGCTGCAACAGGCGGGGATGCCTTCCCCTTCATATCTATTTAAGAACTGGCTTAGAGACATAGGCACATTAATTTTTTAAAATATTAGCAGGGAGGATTCATATTTATCTCATATTTTGTAAACAGGCAAATTGAAAGGAACAATAAAAACTCACACTTACATAGCACTTTTAAAGTTTGCAAAGCCCTATGTCCATAACAATAACACTATAAAGTTACAAGTATTCCTTCCATTTTGTAGATTAGCATTACTACTGAGGGGCTCAGAGAAGTCATGAAGGCTAATCACTGTCAAAACTGGAGTCAATCTTGAGTATCCTGACTCCAACTCCTGTCTTTTAACTACACTGGAAGAATCACTTTTTTAGGGCTCAGTTTCCCCATCTGTAAAAAGAAGGGTTTGGACTAGAAGATGCCTAAGGATACTTTTAGTGCCTTATCTGCAATCTTAGGACAAGGTTGCCTCACTCCTTCATGTTATAGACCACAGAATTCTGGGAGCCTGAAGGGACTGTATATGTACGTCACTCTATTCACTTTACCCTCTCATTTTATACATGAAGAAAGAGGCCTAAAGAAATGCCAGACCTACTGTTACATAAACTACTAACTACCATTTGGAGTCACATGAGCTGGGATTATCAATTAAAAAAAGACAAAAGATCACTTTAAATAAAAGTTGCATCCAACAAGCAGTTAGCAATTCTGCTGGCAACTGTCAAGAAAGAAAGAAGAAAGGATCACACCTCTAGCAAGTCTAATAGGAAAGGGGGGGCAGCTAGGTGGCGCAGAGGATAGAGCTCCGGCCTTGAAGTCAGGAGGACCTGAGTTCAAATCTGGTCTCAGACACACAACACACAACACATACTAGCCGTGTGACCCTGGGCAAGTCACTTAACCCTAACTGCCTAGCCAAAAAAAAAAAAAAAGGAAAAAAACCCAAGTCTAATAGGAAAAGGTAATTTTGCAATGACTTGTCTGAATTTCTGCTGGTGCTAAGGAACTACGTAGGCACAAAATGAAGTATGGTCTGCCTTGCAGAAGAAGCGATGAAGTCAGAGATAAAGGACTGGAACTCAAGAATGACAAGGCTTGGTTACATAGATTTAAGAGCCAACAGCATAGATAGCATCATCAAACCAATGGAAGCTAATATAGTCACCAAAGAAAATAAGACAGAAAGAAAATCCAGGATAGCACCTTGTGGAATTCTTGCAGTTAGGTGACAGGATATAGATGATAACGTGACAAAATTCCAAGATAAAGACATGTTTCATGGAGCTAGGCAAGTGGGGCTACTTCTCTCTACGGGACGGCTGAAAAGAAATGCCTTCATAGAATGGAGGCCCTCTGTTACAGATCATTCATGTTGGGTTAGAAATGGTTATTGTTCTCATCCACCTACAGCAAACCTCTTTGTTCTGGTGCAGAATTTTGGCCAATGGAAAAGCCTCTATTTCTCTACAAAGAAAAAAGCTTTGAAGGTGAAGAAGGAATTTAGATTGCAGGATCACAGATTCAGAGCTAGAAGGGACTTTAGAGGCCATGGAATCCAACCTCCTCATTTTGCAGATCTGGAAACTGAGGCACAGAGAGGTTAAGTGATTCACCCAGGGTTACACAAATTATTAAGTACAGGATCTGAATTCAGGTATTCCTGACTTCAAGTCCAATGTTCTACTCGTTACTTAACACAGCCAACAATTGTGACACATGTGAGGCGGTTGGAAAGAATCTCATCCAAGGAAAAGCAATTCTGCTCTGGAAAAGTCAGAACAAAAAAAAAAGGTAATAAGAAGTTGACATCCAAGATGAATAAGGAAGCAGTAAGAGAGCACCTAGCTAGATGCCTTTGGTGAATTAAAGTCATCAGGCTCCAATGAACTACATCTGGGGCACCAAAGACCTGGCAGATGGGACTGCTGAACCAATCCTAGTGGGCTCTGAAGTATCTTGACCTCCTTGGGAAATCAAAGACAGAAAGAAGGGTTCCATTATATAAAAATATTCACAGCAGCATTCTTTTGTGGTAGCAAAGAAATGGATGCCCATCCACTGGGGAATGACTAAACAAACTGTGGTACATGAACGTCAATTTCTATCTGTAAGAAACAACAAATAAAAGAATTCAAAGAAGCATGGGAAGATTTATATGAATTGATACAGGACTAGGAAAATAATATACACAATGAAAACAATGTAAATAATATAAAACAAAAAGAAACTGAACACTGTGTAATTATAATGACCTAATCCAGTCCTGGAGAAGAGATGAAAAAATACAGCTCCCTCTGTTCTTTGCAGTGAGAAAAGTTTATTATGGGTGTGAAACACAGCATATGCCATCAGACACAGCTGATGTATTGGTTAGTTTTGCTACCCTACCTTCCCCACTCTTTAAAATAAAAATTCTTTGCTGGTCCAATGGATAGGAGAAAGGCAACATATTTAAAAATGAAAGGGATGTAAAAACAAAAGATATCACTAAAAACTTAAAAGAAAGATCACAGAACCCAGGAGAAACAATATAGAACTGAATAAAGGTAGAAGTTTTTCTGATTTTCCAAAAAAAGAAGGTAAATAGAACTTAGAAACTATAGGCCAGTAAGCCTGACTTCAATTCCTGGAAAAATTTTGGAAAATATCATTCAAGGGACAGTAAATAACAAGAAAAGGAAGTGATGATCCCAAAGAGCCAGCATCACTTGGTAATGTGGCTATGTGGGCATGTCACATTGATCTAATTTTCTTTTTTGACAAGTGCCTCTAAGACTGGTTGATCAGAGGAATGCTGCTGATTTAGTTTATCTATTATATCTCTCTTAGTTATATAATTATCCAATATCATATTTCTTGGATTCCTTCCCTACCTTTTTCCTCCAGAAAGTCTCAATATTTTTGAATCTTCAAATTTCATTTTCATTAAATCAAAGATGCAGTCCCTCTTATGCTCTGCCTACCCACCCAACTTGACTGTCACACTCTAGACAGTACTAAATAAAGTCCCACTGAAGTCAGTATGAATTATGCCATGTCATCCAGTTAAACAGAATTCCTTATAAAAAATATACCTACTTTAGATTCATAAGACTCCTCTGCTAACTCAGCATAGCATTCTTTGACAAGCATATCTCGAACGTTCACCACTTCTTTAATTCCAGAGTAACGATATACATCCACGTGTAGAACACTGTGTACGACCGAATAAACTTTCACTATGAGAGCAGAGCCATTGACTAAAGCAGCGAACCTTTGGCTGGCCCCATAACTCCAATGTTCTCCACATACAAGAGACTTTGCAGAAGGACGCATCTTGCAAATCTTGAATTCCAGAGCCTACGAGATAAATATAGGGCAATAACATTTTATGAACTGAGCTACTTAGCACACATTTATTGAAGCCCTGTGTTGGTGCTAGACAGGGATACCAAGAACATCAAGATTTTTTCTCCGCCCTAAAAAGGCTTAGTTAAGAATATACAATACTTCAACAAAGAAACATGACCTTTTTGTGTACCCAACTCCTTGACTCTACAAATCTACACCAAAACATATCTGCCCAAAAGAAACTGCTGAGATAAGCTAGGATTTCACATTTCCATTCTGTATTTATATTAGCATGTATAGTTATGTTTCTTTAACTTTAAGAGCTCCATCATTTCATCAGTGTGGGTACAGCCTCCATTAATGTGTATAACAACCCACCTAAGGTTTAGTTTCCTGAATATATGTCCCACTTCCAAATCATCACTTGATAGCCAACTTTCTGGCGATGAGCCTCTTCTTAATTAACAAGGTAGGCCCCTGAACGACAGGTAAAACATCCATCATAAGCCTTTCCAGCTTGGTTAGAACCTGCCAGAATTTGGGCTCTGCAGGCACAGACATGCAGAGAGCAGGTACACCCATCCCATACCTATCCTTGCAGATATAAGCTTCAAGAATCACTGGGTCACACATGCAAAACTACAAGGGACCTCAGAGGTCATTTAATCCAGTCTTCTCATTTATACAAAGCAAAACTGAGCTTTAGAAAAAGTGACATGACTTGTCCAAAGTACACAGGTCAGAGTCAAGATCTGAACTCAAATCCTTTGACTTGAGAAATACTGTACCATGCTGCTTCCTAAGTCACCATAAAGAGGATTTTAGTAGTACGTTATACCACTATAGCAACAGATAAAAGTGTTTGACATTTCACTGTAAAGCATACTTAAATGCTATCTGATTCCAAGACAGCATAGTAAGAAACATAAGAACAATGTCAAAGAACACTGCCTTGCCTTTAAAAATGATAATTAACCTGAAGAGTGGAGGCTGTGTACAGAAAATGAAATGAGATTTCACAAGCTCCAAACCTTACCTCACTGATGTAAGTGGTACATGAAAACATATCTAAGATAATTTTTTTTACCTGTGTAGAAAAAGGGGTTAGGAAGTCATCTCTCTTTTCACCTTACCTGAAATGGAAGCTCTAGAAGATGACAAGGGATTTCCATTAAAAGGTCTAGGCTTACATGAGACCTATTACCATAATCTACAAAAAAGACCTAGACAATAAAAAATCAGAAACAGAAGAGGAGGTAGAAATAAAAATTATTAAAAGACTATAATTCACGATAAAAATCAGAATGCACTCTAGCAGTAATACTGAATTGTGACAAGAGCGATTCAGTGACTAAACGTAACAGATTTAGAGCAATTATAGATCCCTATATCAAGTACCTTCCTTTAGCAAGCCATCAAGAACAATCAATCCAATTTCACTAACATTGTTTTCCAACTAACTTCTGCCATTTATATTTATTACAAAAGCTTTTTCCCAATGCCAAAATCTCCTCTCATGTACCTTATAGTGATCTATTAGTGAACAACATACCTCAACAGAATTTCCAGAAACATATAGGATTTGAGCTCTAAAGTAGGTTTCTTTATTCAAATTGGCAAATGGTGCCAGACAAACTAAATCAGGATATGGACGAACTAGCAAAGGCACCAATTTCAGCTGGTTTATTTCAACTGTTAGCTTTTTCAGAATATTTGTGTTTTTTTCATCAATCCTATAACCCCAGAAGTGACCAACTTCTACAACCTTTAAAAAAAAAAAGGAAAGAAAGTAATTTGAAAGAGGTTTCTATACCAAACCATGTGTTCAAAAGGCTTTTAAATCACAAAACTTCATATATCACTATCTTTAACTTAACTAAAACTGCATTTTAAAAGTCCCAAACATAAAAAATGAAAATGCCAATGCAACACTAGTTTAATTATCGGTTTCATTTACAAGTTTATTACTTTACGATTCAAACATAGGTAGCCAAGGGGGCAGCTAGGTGGAACAGTGGACAGAACACTGGCCCTGGAGTCAGGAGGACCTGAGTTCAAATCCAACCTCAAACACTTGACGCTTACTAGCTGTGTGACTCTGGTCAAGTCACTTAACCCCATTGCCTAGCAAAACAAAACAAAACAAAGGGAAGTAGACAATCAATAAAGGGACGTGGTTATGATCTGTATATTTGGGGAAAGTATTCCTATCAATAAAATAACATCCTTTGAAATAATATTAAATTTGAGTGAGCTACCCCACATTACATATCAATCACTAACACATTTAATTAGAATCTAGAGCACCTAATAAAATATAGTTTTCAATACAGCTGATTTAATTCAATTTAAAGAAAAACTATATAATCCTCTCAGACAAATTCCTCATACCTCAGTGACCTCAATGGTTAAGAGAAGGCTTGTAATTGCTCGTGACTGCTCTAGAGCATCTAATGAGATCTGCATAGTGTCAATTGTCTGCTTCTGGAAGTCCACGTTCACTCTAAATAAATACATAACTTTTTTAAAGTAGTGTTCCACAAGTCATCTTCACATGCTTTGAATTATTATTACGGTCTATACATGTCATTATGAAATGTAATAATACCACCTTAATTGAATGTCACATATTAACGCTAAATTCTAAAATTCATGGTATTTGAAATGTTATTTAAATTTTAGTTTCTTTGTCAAAAAACCTGGGTAAATCACAGAAATCTAAATTCCTCCAGAGCAACATTATAAGACAGAACCAAGTAAAGTATTTTCACACGTCAAAAGAAGAGATCCACATGCAGGAATTTGAAAGAGAAATATGATACACGAAATTCAACAGTTAGGAAGCCTGGTCCACAGTAGGTACATCTAAGCTTCACAAGCAGAATCTTTATCCTGTGAAATTAAATTTGGAAAATGAAAAATAAGCCTATTTCTATTGATCATGCTTTTTAGTCAGAACGTAAGTCAATTAGAGTTCAAAGATTTAATATACTCTTAAATAGGTGATTGTCGTCCCACAATGACAGCTAATTATTAATGGCCATTGTTGTGTTTCTTGTGCACAGAAAGCCTCAAATCTAGAGTTTGAAGGGACTCTGGTGGTCATCTAATCCAACCCCACTCCTTTTACATAGAAGAAAACTCAAGCTCAGAAAAGCTAAATAATTTGCTGAGGGTTATCAAAGTATTGGTAGCAAATTTGGAATTCAAATTCAATGATCCCAAATAAAATGCATTAAAAGCCCCAGAATATGATAAGAGACTTTAATACTTACTGAAAAACATTAAAATTGTGGTTGAATAGGTTTAAAAATAATCAAGGAAGTGTCTGATAGAGTTTAAGCCCCTCCTCCCATTGTGTATTCCCAGTGACTCCAACCTCCTAGCTGCTCCTCACACAAGACTCTTCCCCCATACCTGGAATATTCTCCCTCCTCATTTTCACCTCTAGGTTTCCCTGGCTTCCCTTCAAGTCTTAGGTTAAGTCTGTCTTTAAAGGTTTCCCACAACTCACCTTACCCAATCCCCCTTAATGTCAGTGACTCCATTTACCAATTATCTCCAATTTATCAGGTCCTGATCTTCTTTATATATAATTGTTTGCATATTGTCTCCTCCATTAGATTGTGTTCCTTAAGAACAGGGATTGTTTTTTCTCCTTTAATCCTCAGTGCTTAGCATGTAGTACGCACTTCATAACTGTTCACTGACTGACCAGTCACATAAAGAAAAGCAAGGTTTAACAAGCTGGCAGCCTAAGTGCTGTACTGGTATTTGAGATGTGTTAAAAGAATGGTAGAAGTCCTCTAGTCATTCACTGGTCAATTCTCTATAGAGAATATATGGAAGAATGGGAAGGCGTAGACAGCTTGAGATCTATGCTAGTGAAGGAACACAGATCTCTTACCATAGCTAGATCCTAAATCCCAGCCACTCTCTACTATCTTGATCAATCTTTGAGATTTTGGACCTTATTTATTACGTAACTTTTACTAAAGTTCTCTTCCAAGGCTTTGTCATGGCTTAATGATGAATTGGAAGAGACCTCAGCAGCCATCTAGACCAACCTAAAATCAAAAGGAATTCCCACTATAACACATCTGATAAGTAATCATAACCTCTGCCTCCTTTAAGGTAGTCCGTTCCATGTTTATAGCTGTAATTGCTACTGACATCAAGCCCACATTTGCTTTTCTGTAAATTTCATTGCTACTGGTTCTCCCTCACGGGACCAAACAGAGTCCAATCCATTTTACACAGGACAGCTCTTAAAACACTTGTACATAATTTATCAACTGCCTCCTGAGTCTTCACATTTTTCAGGATAAAGTTTTCATTTTGTTTAAATGTTGTATACTCAAGGCTTTCACCATTCTGGTTGTGGTTTTCTGAATGTTCTCTAGCTTACCAATGCGTTTTATAAGGTGACAGGTAGAATTAAAAACAATCCTCCACCAGGATGGAGGGGAAGCACCTCCTTATTCCTCGAAGTCACGCTTTCGTTAATGCAACCCAAGATCTCATTAGTTTTTTTGGCTACCATATCACATAACTGACTCATTGAGCCTCCAGTCAACTAAAACCTCAAGATCTCAAGACAATTTGAGACCTAATCATGTCTCCTCCATCCTATAATTGGGAAATCAATTTTTTTTTAATTTAAGGATAATACTAAGGTGAGATCATGGATATAAAGCATTCTGCAAACCTTAAAGTGATATATAAATGTCAGTTATCATTATTATTATTATCAGCCTCAAGTCACCAGGCCTCCAATCTGGTAACGACTTCATTCCCTGAACTCCCAATGAGCTCAACAAATTCCTCTCCATATATACAGGAATACAGAAATGTGCTGGTATATGTTTAACAACTGAGCTCTCTAGGAAAAAAAAAATATGTACACACTTATTTGCATTAACAACAACAAACAAAACAACTGTTATTTCTGAGGTGTGGATGCTCACACTGAAAAATTAAATGGGCTCTCCCTTTTATACTTACCTCTACTGAACTCTGAGATTCAGTACCAAGCTTTAGTCTGTCAAGATCCTGATTGTTATTCAGTATACAGTATGTTAATTATTCTTCAGGGCTCTGTGTCACCCACAAATTTGATAAGCATGCCATTTATGCCTTCATCCAAGACATTGGTGAATATGTTTAATAGCATAGCACAGATCCTTGGGGCCATTCTGCTGCCAATCTCCTTCCACCTTGATACTGAACCATTAGATCAACCACCTAACCAGTTATAAACCCATTAAATAGTATATTTTTATCCAGTCCACCTCTCTGCATCTGCTCCATAAGAACTAATAAATTACATCTTCAGTATTCTTATCCTCTACCAATTTAGTAACCCTGTTAAAAAAGGAAATGATCTTTGAAGGGAGAAGAACTTTAAGGTTTTCTTTTTTTTTTTTTGCTAAACAATACGGTTAAGTGACTTGCCTGGGGTCACAAATCGAGTTAAGTATCAAGAGTCTGAGGCCAGATTTGAACTCAGGTCCTCCTGACTCCAAGGCTGGAGCTCTATCCATTGTGCCACCTAGCTGCCCCAGAACTTTAAGGTTTTCAAAGTGCTCTATTCACAATAATCCTATGAGCCAGGTAATTCAAGTATTATTATATTCATTTTACAGATGGGGAATCTAAGACAGAATTCAAACCTGAATCTTCTGACATAAAAGTTATCACTAGATCATGCTGACCCTCATTATAAATAATTTTCTATCATTGTACAGCAACAAACAACAAAGAGGGGGCAGCTAGGTGGCACAGTAGATAGAGCTCCAGCCTTGGAGTCAGGAGGACCTGAGTTCAAATCTGGCCTTAGACACTTGACACTTAAATTAGCTATGTGACCATGGGCAAGTCACTTAACCCCAACTGTCTCACCAAAAAGCAAAAAAACAGAACAAAACAAAAGAAAACAAGCAAAAAAAAAAAGAACCTCTTGTCTCATTGGTTAAGGACACAGTCATGATCAACTGATTCAACATGACGAATACTTGGAAGTAAGTCTAAAACCAGGCAGTGTCAAAGAAACTTGAGATTTTTTTCCTCCCAAACAAGCTCTCTGTGAGGCCTACACATGGATTTAAGAAAGTTTAAAGAGTTCAAGGCAAAAAAGACTGGTTAACTCCTAATGACATTAGGACACAGGACTTGGAGCAAAAAGAGACTTCAGAGACTATCTCATATAATCCACTTCAGCCTCTACATAAGGAAACTGGGGCCCTGAGAGGTTAAATGAAAGCTCTCTATTATTGTCCCACAGGGTTGAAGTAACAAATCTTGAATTATAACTCAAGTCCTCTAACTCTCAAGTAGAGCACCCCAGCCATCACATCACATGGTCAGTAAGATCTGAAAATTAACAAGCTAGCAGAAGGAAAAATGCCTCACCAACCTTACCTTGTGTTCCTCAGCTTTGTAACTGAGCCTCCTTGCACCTTCCCTTCAATTTCTTCACCGGTGTGAACACTGAGTTCAAGTGGAACTTTTAGCTGAGACATCTTAATTGCCATATACACAGCAGGAAGAGTTTTAAATCTTTCTGTTGGATTACGAGAAAATTCCACAAATGCCCTATTCCCAAACATAAAAAGAAAGATTTATTAAAAAAAAAAAGTATTAACCATATGTATTAACATCATTCCAGACCAGTTAACCAGTCTCTGATAAATCTCTTTCTGAAACTCACAGGAACCTTTCATGCTACAATTCATCAGAAGCATGTACTGTAAGGGGCAGGAGGTGGGGGTGGGTGGTGACTAAAAGTAACAGAAAAAATATTTACAATGAGATCTTATTATTGCATCTAATTCTTGTATATTTCTCTGCTTTACAAACGTTGTTTCTGCACGATCAGGTACACACCTAAATTGAGTTACAGTTTCCACAACATTTTCACCTCCATCACAACATGTCTGTGCAGGGATAGGGCAGTTGTTATTATCATCATGACAGCTGAGGAAACTACGTCAAAGAAAGCCTACTTCGAAGTCAAACACTAAGTAAAAGCCTGAGCCATGACTAGAACTACATGTTTTGCCTTCTAGTTCAGGGTCCTTTTCACTACAATACACTTACCACCTTCCAAAACCCTTAAAAGGGATAAAACGTTAGGGTTAATATTAAAAAGAAATCTTTATGAAGAAAGTGGCTAATCTAGTCTCACAGAAAACTCTGAGGTAGTAGAGGTTTCTGCTGAGACCTTGTGCCAAGGAAGTTTTGCAACTGAAGTTCCTAGTAACAGCCTTTGCTGTTAAAATGAGATTTTTATTTAAATGAATTCAAAGTACTACAATTGGAATTACTAGTGATTTATACTTCCATTCTTTTTTTTTTAAAGGAATGTAGGTAAAAATTGTTAATACAGGCCTTGTAATTCTCATTTCTTGCTCCCCTTGGATCATATTCTCAGGGTAGCAAGATTGAGGGGCCATGTGTCTGCGGCAAAATTTGAACTCAGATCTGACTCCAAATGGGATCTCTCTACTGTGGCACGCTATCTGTGTAAGATTCACATACGATGTGTTCTGCTTGATCCCAGATAACAGATCTAGAAACCAGTGGACTGAGGTTGCAAAGGTTAAGCTTAATTCAAGAAAAGGAATGCTAACAATTAAGAGCTACAAAGCAGAATGGGACTGCCTAGAAAGCAGTACATTCCTTGCTCTGGTCTTCAGGCCACAGCTGGATGATGAGCAGGTGGGGTCATCACAGAGAGGACCCTTGTTCAGGTAGGAGCTGGATTAGATGGCCTTAGAGGCCTGACAAACAGGTGCCTAACCACTGGCTGAAGCTGCCCTGGTCTCCTTTCCCCGGCCAATCAGCTGCCTGAGACTGACCAGACACAGTCCTTTCCAGTCTCTGATTACTTTGTAGATCTCCCAAATTCACCCCTCCTGAAATGCCCAAGCTTTCTTTATGGACTTTTGCTTATTATTAACAACTGGCCTAGTGAAAGGGTGGGATGCCTAACCCCTCCTACCGACAGCCTAGTCATTCTTTCTGCCTTAGTGTCCTATATAAACCCTGTTCCCAGCCCCCTCCTTGGGTACCCCAGTGCTTGCTGTGTGGCACCCCAAGCTGTAATTCACTTGCCTTTATTAAAGATTTCAGTTTTGTTCCACTGACTGACAGGTCCTTTCCAGTTCTGAGACTCTGTGTTTAAATGTGATCAAGTATATAATAAAGGGACTACAGAATTCATGCAAGTTAAACCCCTTCATCTTACAGGAATGGAAATTGAGACCCAGGGAAGTAAAAAGACTTGCCCAAGGTCTCATAGCAAATAAGTGGTAAAATTGTGACTTTAGCACATTTCTTCTGAGTGCCAAGTCCAAAGAGCTTTCTAGTACACAATGCTGTCTCTGGTTTTGCAAACTGTAAGTACTACACTGGTATCGAGAATTAAAATTCACCAATAAAATGAGGCTAAAATGCCTTTCCTTCCCAGGTATTCAAAACATACATATGGCACTATCCTGCTATAAAAGGAAACAACCTCCTAGTAACTGGAAATAAGTTTGATAATTTGGAAATTAGTCCAGGCTTTAGATGACCATGTACTGGCCCACTCTAGATGGGAGTCTATGGAATCCACCTATTATGAATCACTCTTCCTCTCCTCTCCTCACCACCTCTACCAAGCCCCAGGCTCTTCATCCCAAGCTCCCTCCAGCTGTAACGGGAGGGCTCCTCCTAGAATCTCCACTGGAGCAGGGGCTGCACTCAGGGTTATTTCCCATTCTCCTATTCGCTTCTTTATGGATACAGTCTTCAACTTTTAGAATATAACCTCCTTAAGGACAGGAACTGTCTTTCTTTATGCTTGCATTTGTATTCACAGGGCTTACTTCGCCCAGTGACTGGCTTGTAGTAAATACTTGATAAATATTTTTTGTCTTTTACTTGCTGTTTGTCCTTCCTTCTTGAAGAGGACCATGACATCAGGGAAGTGATGCCATGACATTCAAGTGAATCAGATTTAAGTGAGGCAGGGCTGGGCAAAGTCACCAGCCTCACTTTCTCCTCCGGAGCCATCTGGGTCCAGTGGCCAGATATAGATCAGGACAACTGGAGAGGGCCCAGTGTCTTTCATTTGCAGGAAATAGAAAGCCCTAGGTCTCAAAAAAGTGGCTTCTTCTGTTTCCCATTTAAAAAGCTAGATATTTAATTCCTCAAGAGATGTTCAGGTTATTCAAGATTGTGAGAGGAAACATACAGAGCTGCTAGTTTCCCAATAAAAGGAATGGTAACAGTTAAAAACAGCAACAGCAACAACTATTTGCATCAGTCTTCTAAACACATATTTCTGTATGAAGGTTAATGCATCAAAACATATTCCCTCCCTTCTCTTCCCATTACAAGACACAAGATCAGTGAACCTTCATTATTTTCTTGTATCAATGGGGCGCTAAAGATGGACCCCTAAAAGGAAAACACTGTATCTTTGGAATATGACCCCAAAAAGGAAAAAAGCCCCTGGACTTTCTCACACAGCCCAGATCCCCAGCATTTGCCTGAGGCATCTGGCCCCTCCTGGTATAATCCTTTTAACTTGCCTTTCATTGTAGCCTTCATTGTCTACAGCTGGCCCACTGGCCCACCCCAGGCTACTTGCTACTCCTTAATCCCATCCAGATCTTCCCATAATCCTTCTATACAAAAGTGCTGATCTTGCCCCCATTAAATTGGTCAGATTCTTAAAATGTAGCCTGATTCTACTGGTGACACAGCAAACCTTGTCCCTGACTAAAAGAAGGCTTGAGCAGTCAAATTCTTTCGAGGCAGACTCCTACCCTGTACCCTTGCATTTCAGGGTTCCCAGCACCCCTAGATCATAACAATACCAGCATATATTTTCATATATAACAATTATCTTCCTATATAACTATACTAAGAATAAAACACTACTTACTTTGTACCATCAAACACAATGGATTTTACTTGACCACACTGCCTAAAGAGAGACTGAAGTTGTTTGTAGTAGATAAATCCATAGGGAGGAATATGCTTCAGCTGTTTAAAACATAAATGACAGCTTCTTTTAAAATTTGCCACAGCAGATTTCCCCATTCAACAATTCACTAACATTTATTAAATGCCTATTATGTACAAGGCACACAGTACTGAATATTTATAGAATTTAAAAATAAACTAAGTTTATTCTCAGGTTCTATGAGTAAAAGTTTATTAAATGCAACAGTGAGTTTTTAAAAATTATAACCAAGTTTCAAATTGTAAGTTAAGTTACCTACTAAGCCAAGTTCATTTTTCTCTTTAAAAATTACATAATTCTAACAATAAAATCAAATTCAAAAATAGACTAAACTTTTAAAAATAACTTCAAAATAATTCAGATAAGCAAATCTTGGAAAAGTTAGACGAAGTTTTGACTTTGAAGGAGAAAGTGTTCAAAATTCCCTGAGTTTCTTCAATTAGAAAAGAAAATTTATTTAAGGCACTATAATAAGCTTTTGACACTGCTTAATGGCTACTTTTAAATATTTAGCATAATAGTCTTATAAACTTTAAGCCTTTCTCAATAAATAGATAAATGTTCTGTATTGTTATTTTTATTTTTACTATCAATTTCAGTGCCCAGAAGGCATTTCTAGACTAGATTCCTCATGTTTAAGCAGCTTCACATTCATCCTAATGCATATAACAGTTCACAATATTAAATATTTTAAAATATGCCAAAGAGCAACATTATAAAACCTCCATCAGTAAGTAATCTGTTGAATAATTCTCAGTCAGAAAAACGAGCATTACTCAAACTGACATAAAGCAAGAATTTTCTGAATGACATGGTATCAATGATGAAAAGTTGGCTACTTTTTTAAAATAATAAATTGTTGAATAAATGAAGACTATTATTCAAATCCCTCAGAAGTTTCTTTTATCCAAGCTGAATAATTTTAGATCCTTTAACTTTCCTCATATTTTATTGTCTGATTCCTCATTCACTTGTCCCACTTCAATTCTAAGGTCAGAACTGTAACAAACTCTAAATGCTACATATATAGTTTGGTGTTCAAAAAATAAAATGCCAAGCATCTAAATCATGACCGGGATGGGGGGGTTGGCAAAAAAATGGACACAAGGACAAGGAAAATCTTGAAATTCTATTTTAAAATGTATGTACAGGTGAGTTCTACCCTAACACCAATTAATGTAATAAAAGGCCCAGATACCTCAACTGAATGAATCAATGAAAAATCCAATTTAGGTGTGGATTTCCCACTGAGATGGCTGCCTAACCAGAAGCAGACCACCATGTACTTCAGCAAAAACATGAAATTCCCCCTAAATAATGATCAAGAAACTACAGTAAATTACTTTTCCCACCTCAGAACTGCAGCAGCAGCAACAACAATAATGCAAAAGGGCCTTGACACAGCAACCATGAGCAGCACCACATCAGCCAGAAGCCAACAGGCGCCAGGACAGGGGGCAGACAGCAAAGCTGGAGGCTGCAGCCTCCTAGTGTAATAAGCAAGGGGCCAGAGACACGTAAAGCCTGCAAGACTCTCTGCTAGAGCTAACAAGAGTCAAGGGCTTCCAAGAAAGGTCACAAAGTCCCAGGGTAGAAACCTCGGAAGCCTCAAGAAAGGGCAGAGACCAGAGAGATGCTGGCATGCCCAGGCCCAAGGACTGTCCCGAGATGCAATAAGGCGTCCCTGAAAACCCAGCATTCGATCCTGAGCATCCAAAGAGGCATAATCCTAGGCAGTGGAGGTCAACACAGAACCCAGGCAGGAACAACCACCTCATCCGAAAACAAAATAGAGGGAAGAGCCTGGCACTAGTTCAAAGCCTCAATTCAGAGACTAAAGCTGGAAAGACAATACCAACTAGTATTTAAAATTATTGTAGACACAGAGATCCCTGAAAAAGAAGTAATTTCCCAAAAGTGTCATGCAATCATACAAAGGAAAAAATGGGTTTTTCCACAAGGATGATTTGAATACCTAGAAGAAAATAAACCAAGAGATAAACAATTGAAATAAAAGCTTGGAAGGAAAGAAATGAGCAAATAACTTAGACAAGAAAGTGATAAAATTTGCCAAGAAATAAATGCTCAGAAAACTATAACAGACCAAACAGAAAACAATTATGCCATGAGATAGTAATAAATATTAGAACAACACCAAAAGACTGAAAGAAAATAGCAAATTTAATATGTCATATCAAAAACAAATAATCTGGAAAACATATCAAAGACAAATAAGAATCCCTTGAAAACCATGATAAGCAAATACAGTGTGGACCCATAATCATAAACGAAACTACCCAGATCCATCAGAACAAGACAATGTAAAATAGAAAAAATCCACCAATCACCTCCGAAAAGAAATCCTAACAGTAAAGGATCCTCAAATGTTGTAGCCAAATCCAGAGCTCACACACCAAAAAATACTACAAGCGTCAACCTGTGCAAAAACTCAGACCAACCAGATGGTGAGTAAATAAAGTGAGGCATTTATTCTGGGTCAAGGAACTGTTCAGGGCAATGCTCTGCCTTTTCATACAGAGATGTCCAGGGCGGGGGGGGGGGGGGGGGGGGGGGGGGGGGAAGGACGGGGGGGGGAATGGGAATTCTTATAAGGTTTAGTTGTGGGAAACAGGACAGTGTATAGTCTGGATACACAAAACAGTCAAACTTCAGGAGGATTATCTCTCTAGGAACAGGGGTAGTTAGAAAACTGCTAAAGTGTGTGGGAGTCTTCTTGGGGGCGATTAGGAACTGCTAGTCAAAGCAGAGATTCCCAAGAGTTGGAGGAGTGAAGTGATTAGAAACTGCTAGTCGTAACAGCATAGAGACTCAGAGATTTCCCACAAGCAACCAAAAAGAAATGCAAGGACCAAGGACCCATGGTCAAGAATACTACAAGACCTGGAAGCTTCTATCAGAAACAAGAGATCTTGGAATACAATATTCTAAAAGGCAAAGATATATACTTACAACCAAGAACAACTTGCCCTGCGACATAGGCTGAAACAAATGGATTATTAATGGGACAGAGGAGTTTCAAGTCAACTCTTCCTATTGGGATTTGGGATGCTGGGAAACTGAAGTGTGGGGTATGGGGGGATCTGGCTGGAAAAAATTCAACCACTCAAGCCTTCTGTCAGTCAAGGTGGCAAGGTTGGGGCTGGAGTCTAAGTGAATCTGCTATTGTAACACCAACAGGAGTGGGCAGAGTTCCTATTGAACATGCGAATTTGATGAGGATGGGACTGATACTTATATACAAAAAAAAAGCCTGAGAAGATTTGGATATGATTAAGGAATGGTACACAGCCTGGGGTGGGCTAGGGAGGCAACGATGAAAGGGCCCAGATGGGATTAAGGAGCATCAAGTAAGCTAATTAAGTAATCAAGGTGGGCTATAGTGGGCCATAAACCTTAGGCCCAAGAAAACAGGGACTGAGATGTGTGAGAAAATCCAGGAACTTCGCTGCCAAAATGGAAAAATTCAGGGTCCAGGTCTAGCTGTGTGATATATGGGAAAATGAGCCACAAGCTGGGGGAAAGGAGTCACGACTATAGCTCTGCTTTACAAATATTAACTCATTCTAGACTCACAAAGACTCTAGAAGGTTAGGTACTATTATTAGGGTTAGAGTGAAATTGAGGTAAACAGGATTAAGTGACTTGCCCTGGGTCACAAAGCTAGTAACTGTCTGAGGCTGGATTTGAACTCAGGTCTGCCTGACTCCCAGTCCAAACATCCATTCATTACCCTATCTAAATGAATATTTTATACTAAGTGTTCTTAGTAAATACCTTTTTCTAAAAGCTGAGTCAAGTAGCTGATTTTTAATGGAAAGCACCTAGATGGAGAGGGCAAATTAGCTCTAAAGTCCAGCCTTTCTATGAACCACATTCACCTAAATGTCATAAAGTCAAGAACCATACCTAAGTATTCGAGAAAACATATATACTGAAGGCTATTTTTGACACTGACATACCACTACAGTTGTTTTAGGATCTTTGCCAGCAAGCTCCCTTATTGCCATTTCTTCATCAGGCTGTCCAAAAGTAAAGTAATTTGGGTAGAAAGCACCAGCCAATACAACCTATAAAACAGATTTCCTTCTGTTAAATAGAGGAATAACAAGTAACTAGTATTTCCTAATCTATTCCTTGAATTTTATAAATATTGCATTAAAGTTTAGAACTTTCACCATTGGGAAAAAGCTTCCTATTTCTTAAGTAAAAAATAAAAGTCTTCTGCTTTTAAGATTGAGGTGAATTATCAAAGTGAAAGAACTAATTAAGCTTACAATAATAATCAACTATATATATCATCTTTCCTAGAGTTTAGGGCATTTTAGTGTGGAACTGGGGGGGGTGGGATAAACAATAACTAAAGGTTTGGACAATTCTGTATGTGTATCTAGAGTTACCAAGATTTCTTCCACATCCCTGTTCCACACCCCACGACCCACCCCACACCGCACTCTTATCAGATCAATAAATGTTATAGGGAAAGGCTCTCCTCTTTCTCCATTTTTAGACAATGCTCCTGTTTACAACACATAGACAGACTCAAAATAAGAAAAAAAGCCTCTTCCACTCATTTCTTTTTCTTTTTCTTTTTTTAAAGGCAACTGGGGTTAAGTGACTTGCCCAGAGTCACACAGCTAGTAAGTGTTAAGTGTTTGGTCTGAGGCCAGATTTGAACTCAGGTACTCCTGACTTTAGGGCCGGTGCTCTATCCACTGCGCCACCTAGTCTTCCACTCTTTTTTAAGGAGCACTTTTTGAAAGGTGTCACCTTTAAGATATTCTTAACTAATTTTAAATTGCATAATTCCCAATCAAGGCTTTCCCTAAACCCTAAAATTTGTCCTTCTAGACAAATGCTCTTTCTTTGTCATGCCAAATTCCTGAATACGCACCTCTTAAAACCAAACTTTTCAAAAGCTATCATAGGATACTCCTCAGACATCACAAAGAGAAAAAAAAAATACATGAATCTTCTAGAATATACACTCCAGCAATGAAACATTTCCAAAGATCCCACGTGGTCAAGTTTCCTTCATACTCTGGTGCCTAATATCCTGACAATCCTCATCCCCCTGGAAGTTCAGTGTTTTATGATGGCCAAAAAAAATATATACATTTTTTTTGTTCAAGTTCACACTGAGCACTTGATTAATTACAAGAGTAGTTTAACAGAAAGATGGACAGACAGGCAGATAAACTGCCCGATAAAAATGGCCTTGAAATTAATCATTCAACTACAGACAGTTATGGGATATCTCCCTATTATAATGGAAGTTCCTTGACAGCAGGACTGTTTTTGCCTTTCTATGTATGTCTAGCATCTTGGCACAGTGCCTGACACTCAGTAAATGCTGAATAAATAAATGCCTGTTGACTCCGTAGTTGACTAGTTATTACTAGCCCCCTGCCCTCTCCAAAAATGCTCTACATCCAATCTCTTTTATTATCATATCTAAGGGGCAAGTAAAGGGGTTGGAAGTTCCTCTAACACAAATGCCACAATGGGGGAGAAAGCAGAAGTGCACTAGAGCCAGAGGCCAGAGCCAAGTACTTACACCTCAGGAATCGGCAATCACTCCAAATCAGAGTTTGCTTTACTGTTTTGTTGACTGTCTAGACTTAATAAAGCGTAAGTGTATATACATACACTGACCTCCCTTCCTTTGTTAAAATACTTATCAGCCCACCCCTACAAACACTGCTTCATCGCGGGCTGGAGGTCTGGTAACTGCAGATAATAAAAGCAACCACAACAAGCAATTCTACATGGCTTTAAGGTTTGCCAAATGCTTCCCATCTGTCACTTCACTTGAGCCTCACCACACTGCAGGGAGAAGGGGACAAAAATGGGATGCCCAGAGCCATTCCAGCACACCTGCAGGATGAATCTCTGTTTATAGATATATTCACGGTCCATCACAGGTCTCTGAGTATCCACACACATGTTGAATTGTGTGATGCGATTTTTCAGTTCTTCATATAACTCAGCTACCTAAAAGGACAAGGATGTATTTAAGAATCTTTTTCTTTTTTCTTTTTGATTTTTTAAATTTTATTAATTTATTTTGATTTATCAACAATCACTTCCATATGCTTTTGAGTTGAAAATTTTTCTCCCCCTTCCTTCACCCCCCCCAAGACGGCACACAATCTGATATAGGCTTTACATTTACATTCCTATTAAACATATTTTCACATTAGTGAAGTTGTAAGTAAAAATTAAAACCAATAGGAGGAACCATCAAAAAGATGAAACGAAACTCAACAGAAGGTAAAAATAAGTGATAGTGATTGGACTTCCATAGTTCTGTCTTTGGATGTGGACGGCATTTTCCATCCCACGGCCTCTGGAGATGTCTTAGATCCTTGCAATGCTGAGAAGGGTTCAGCTTAATAATATTAGTCATCGCATAACATGGCTGTTATTGTGTACAAAGTCCTCTTGGTTCTGCTCACAAGAATCTCTTTCTTTGAATGAAAATCCTTAAGATACGCACTTGCAGGGCACAGCCAACATGACAGAGAAAGGCAGGGACTCTCCTGAGCTCTCGATGAAACCCCTCCAAACAACTTTAAATAATGCCCTAAAACAAATCCTGGAGTGATGGAATCCACAAAAGGAAAGAGCAAAACAACTGTCCAGCCCAAGACAACTGAGAAGGTCAGCAAGGAAGGTGCACAGCCCCAGGGTGAGAGTGGAGCACAGTCCAGCGCAGGCTGTGCTAGCACAGACTGGTCCCAAGCAGACCAAGCACAGGCCTTAGGAACAACGAAATCAGCAGTGGCACCAGCTGCTTCCGGAGCTCTCAGCTCGCAGACAGTAAGGATGCACACAACTGGTCCGAAGGAGGTGACAGGGGTCTCTTTGCTGGCACTGGGGGCAAGACTCAGTGGCTTTCTTCATACTTGGACCTGAGTTGCAGTCCTGGGTGGCAGTCCCAGCGTGAAGGGAGGCCACAGTAAATCAGGGACCTGTGTCACAGCTCCAGTACAAAAAAAAAAAGAGTGCTTGTGGTCACCCATAGACCAGAACACAGGCCAGAAAGTAGCAAACATACTTCTCCTTAGAAGAACTGAAAGCTTACAGGCCCCCAGAACTAGCTCCAAAAACAGCTGTACAAAACTCCTGAAGCTTGGGGACTGTGCACCCTCCGCCCTGGAAGCAGAGCAAAGGGTTAAAAGTCAAGAAATAGACTGGAAAAATGAGCAAACAACAGAAAAAAATTCTGACTATAAGAAGTTACTATGGTAAAACACACTCTGAAGAAGACAACAAAGTCAAAGCTGCTACATCCAAAAGCTCCAAGAAAAATATAAATTGGTCTCAGGCCATGGAAGAGCTTAAAAAGGATTTTAAAAATCAAGTAAGAAAGGTAGAGGAAAAATTGGGAAGAGAAATAAGTGATGCAAGAAAATCATGAAAAAAGAGTCAATAGCTTGGTAAAGGAGGCACAAAAATATACTAAAGAAAATAACACCTTAAAAAATGGGCTAGGCCAAATGTAAAAGAGGTCCAAAAATCCAATGAGGAGAAGAATGCCTTGAAAAGAACTGGCCAAATGGAAAAGGAGGTCCTAACACTCACTGAAGAAACTAACTCCTTAAAAATTAGAATGGAGCAAAATGGAAGTTAATGACTTTATGAGAAATCAAGAAACAATAAAAGAAAACCAAAAGAATGAAAAAATAGAAGACAATGTGAAATATCTCACTGGAAAAACAACTGACCCGGAAAATATATTTAGGATAGATAATTTTAAAATTATTGGACTACTTGAAAGCCATGATCAAAAAAAAAGAGCCTAAACATCACCTTTCAAGAAATTATCAAGGAAAAATACCGTGACATTCTGGAACTAGAGGGTAAAATAGAAATTGGAAGAATCCACCAATCAGCTCCTGACAGAGATCCCCAAAAGAAAACTACCAGGAATATTACAGCCAAATTACAGAGTTCCCGGGTCGAGGAAAAAATATTGCAAGCAGCCTAAAAGAAACAATGCAAGTATCATGGAGCCACAGTCAGGATAACACAAGATTTAGCAACTTCTACATTAAAGGATCAGAGGGCTTGGAATACAATATTCCAGAGGGCAAAGGAGCTAGAATTACAACCAAGAATCACCTAACCAGCAAAACTGAGTATAATCCTTCAGGGGAAGAAATAGATATTCAATGAAATAGAGGACTTTCAAGGATTCTTGATGAAAATACCAGAGCTGAATAGAAAATCTGACTTTCAAACACAAGACTCAAGAGAAGCATAAAAAGGTAAAAAGGAAAGGGAAATCGTAAGGGACTTAATAAGATTAAACTGTTTGCATTCCTACATGGGAAGATGACACCTGTAACTCATAGAAACTTTCTCATTATTAGGGTAGATAGAAGGAGTATATATAGACAGAGGGCAACTCTGGCAACACATCTGTGAGTTGAATATGAAGGGATGATAGCTAAAAAATAAAATTAAGGGGTGAGAAAGGAATGTACTGGGAGAAAGGGAAAGAGAGAGGTAGAATGAGGTAAATCATCTCACATAAAAGAGCCAAGAAAAAAGTTTTTGCTGTGGAGGGGGGAGGTAAAGGAGTGTGAGTGAACCTTACTCTCATCAGAATTGGCTCAACGAGAGAATTACACACTCAACTGGGTATAGAAATCTATCTTACCTACAGGAAAGTAGGGGGGGAAGGGGATAAGAGAAGGTGGGGGACATGATAGAAGGGTTGGCAGATTGGGGGGAGGAGGGAGTCAGAAGCAAAACACTTTTGAGAAGGGAAAAGATGAAAGAGATCCCAAAATAAAAACTCCAAGAAACATTACAGTCAAATTACAGAAGTATCAGGTCAAGGAAAAAATAGTACAAGTGGCCAGAAAGAAACAATTCAAATATCAGGGAGCCACTACCAAGATTACACAGGACTTAGCAGCTGCAACATCAAAGGATCAGAGGTCACAGAACATGATATTCTGGAAAGTGAAGGAGCTAGGACTATAACCAAGAATCACCTACTCAGCAAAATTAAGCTTAATAGTTCTAGGGAAGAAATGGCCATTCAATAAAATAGAAGCATTTCAAGCTTTCATAAGAAGAAGAAGACCAAAACTGAACAAAAAATCTAATCTCCAATATTAAGACACAAGAGAAGTCTAAAAAGGGAAAAGAAAACATAAGGGATTTAATGGAGCTAAGCTGTTTATATTCATACATGGGAAAATGACATTTGTCATTCTTAAAAGAATGAATACACATAGACAGAGGGTATGTTATAAGGTAAATTTGAGAGAACAACAAAAAAAGAATAATTAAGGGATGAGAAAGAGGAGTACACTGGATGCAGAAGGAAGGGAGAGGTAGAATGGGGTAAATTATTTCACATAAATAAGTGTGAAAAACCTATTACAGTGAAGGGAAAGATGGGTGGGTGGGTGACGGGCATCGCTTGAACCTTACTTTCATCAGTCTGGCTCAAAGAGGGAATAATATATATACACAATCAGTTGAATACAGAAATCTGTCATACCTGACAGGAAAGTAGGAGGGGAGGAGATTAAGGGGAGAGGGGAGAGATCGACAGAAGAGAGGGCAGACCAGGGGAGGCAGTAGACAGAAGCAAAATATCAGTGAGATGAGAAAAGGTGAAAGGAGAGAGAAGACAAACAGAAAAAGAATAGGATGGAGGAAAATACATAGTAATCAAAACTATGAATGTAAATGGGATGAACTTTCCCATGAAGTGGAAGCAAATAGCAGAGTAGGTCAAAAACCAGTATCCCACAATATGCTGTTTACAAGAAACACACTTGAAACCAAGAGACACACATAGAGTGAGGCTGAAGCAGAATTTATTATGCTTCAGCTGAAGTTACAAAAAAAAAAAAAAGCAGGGGTAGCAATCCTGATCTCAGACAAAGCAAAAGCAAAAAACAGACCTAATTAAAAGACATAAGAAAGGAAACTACATCTTGCTAAAAGGTACCATAGACAATGAAGTAAAATCAATATTAAACATATATGCACCAAGTAAGTGGTTATATAACATCCACATTCTTAAAAGAGAAGTTAAATAAGTTACAGCTTCATGACCAAACAAGAGATAGAAAGCATTAAGAAATGTAAAACAGATAATTTTGATTACATTAAATTAAAAAGCTTTCAAATAAACAGAACCAATGCAACCAAGATTAGAAAGAAAGCAGAAAGCTGTGAAACAATCCTTACAGCAAGTGTCTCTGATAAAGGCCTCATTTCTCAAGTATATAGAGAACCGAGTCAAATTTATAAGAAAACAAGCCATTCCCCAGCTGACAAATGGTCAAAGGATATGAACAGGCAGTTTTCAGATGAAAACTATAGGCATATGAAGAAGTACTTTAAATCACTTTTGATTACAGAAATGCAAATTAAAACAACTCTGACGTACCACTTCACACCTATCAGCTTGGCTAATATGATAAAAAAAGGAAAATGATAAATGTTGGAGAGGCTGTGGGAAAATTGGGGCGTTAATGAATTGTTGGTGAAGTTGTGAACTCATCCAACCATTCCGGAGAACAATATGGAACTATGCCTAAAGGGCAACCAAACTATGCACAATACCCTTTGATCCAGCAATACCACTACTAGCAAAGAAATCATAAAAAAGAGAAAAGGACCTACATATGCAAATATATTTCTAGCAGCCCTTTACGTGGGGGCAAAATATTAGAAACTGAGGGGATGTCCATAAATTGGAAAATGGCTCAACAATCTGTGGTATATGAATGTAATGGAATACTACTGTGTTATAAGAAATGATGAGCAGGCAGATTTCAGAAAAACCTGGAAAGACTTGTACGAACTGATGCAAAGTGAAAAGAGCAGAACCAGGAAAACACTGTATACAGTATCAGCAACATTATGTGATGATCAACTAAGGATGATTCAGCTCTTCTCAGCAACACAATGATCCAAGACAAGTACAAAGGACTGGCAAAGGAAAATGCTATCTACAT